AGTGGCTACTACAAAAGACTGGACATACCCAATTTTGAATACCTTGGGATGTCTACTTTTTAAAATGGTATGCCATTAAGGGGTAATTTTCATTTCTTGGCTGCCATACGGTCTCAAAGGCAGCCTAGACACAGCAAACTAATCTGACAAATTTCATTGTGAAAAAGCATAAATGGATAAGCCGTATGTATGACCCTGTAACTTAAAAAAAAAACATAAAACCTATACATGGGGGGTACCGTGGCACTTGTGAGACATCACTGAATAGAACTAGGAGTGTTTCAGGGCAGTAAACTATATACTGACAATAATATTATCAGTAAAAGTAGAGTTTTTATTTGAAAAATTGAAAAAAAAACAAAAAAACAAACACTAACTTTGGCTAGCGTTTATGCCCAAGTGGCTACTACAAAAGACTGGGCATAACCCATTTTAAATACCCTGGGATGTCTATGTTTTCAAATGGTATGCCATTAAGGGGTAATTTTCATTTCTTGGCTGCCATACGGTCTCAAAGGATGATGGCATAATCTTGCTACCTCTAGGGTCACCGCAAGTAAATCCATATGCTCTGTATGTGCATGCCCAACCTGCTACCTCTTGGTCACTGCAGGAATTATGGTGATGGCATGATCTTGCTACCCCTAGGGTCACAGCAAGTTAGAACCCCCGGTCACTAAAGGGGTTTCTCCAGGGGGGCCACGTACTGAAGACTTCCCAAGGGAAAGAGGCTGAACTCCCTTGAGGCAGAAGGTAACAACCCTCAGGTAAGCCAAAAAGAAAAATTCTCTAGTCTGTCCTAGGGATAGGACAGGAACAAAAAGACTGATGATGGGAGGGGTAGGAGGGGTTACTTATACCTTCTGTTTTAATTAGGTTCCTGTCTGGTTAGGGATAGGGAGGAGCTACCTATTGTTGTGCTGCCATGGATATGGCCAGGAAATAGTCTTTAGAGAAAAAGTTAGGCCTACAAGGCATTTCACCCTTTCTGTTTAAGTGCATCCATACACATTATACATATCTTTTTTTTTTAACTGAGAAACATAACTCTACATATTGAAAAATATTAATTATGATTAAAATATTTTATAAAAAATGTTAAAAACATTTTTTTCTCAGTTTTACATTTAGTAAGTTTTACAGAACAGTAGTGCTCTGGTGCTCCTTCTCCCTGATCTGATGACAGGACAGACGCTGCACACTGCTCGTATGCATTTGTTTGAAGACAGTCGTGCTGACATCAGAACAGCACAAATCTCAGTGCCGATTCAGTTGGGGTAAACGCACACAATAAAGTCCTGAATTCGGCATTTGGCTAAATTTGGGTTGACAGGCACACTAAAATGATACCAACTAGTAGTTTAAGTATTCTGGCTATTTAAAGTCAGAGCTTGATAGAGAAAACTGCCCCTGTTGTGTTTCTCGTATAACCAAGAATGTGTTGATATTGAATTTGATTCTCTGTTATTGACCATGGCTTGTTTAACCCCTTAAGGACGGTGGGCACGCTATGCTGTCCTTGGGGACCCAGCTCTAAACACCAGCGGGCGGCATACAAATGCCCAAGCCGTCCTATGTACTTACCCGGTCACCGGTGATCCCACTGATAGAATGGTTTTAAAATTGTCAGTTCTATACACAACCTTTGGTTTTGTTGGCAATAATTTATGTAGATAAGTGTCCTGCAATCAAATTGGCCAATGTTTTTAAAAAAAAACAAGTTATTAGGGAAAGGTTTGAAGTTCGCTCCCCAAAAAAATCCTAATCATTTTGAACTTTTTATGGATATACAAATAATTTTTAGGAAATTGACTGTAAAACTTTTTTGAGAAAAAAGGTGAAATGAATAATGATTCTAACCCACTAGAAACTATATTTCCTGAAACGACCCTGAAATAATAAATTCTAAATGAAAGACAAAGTCTAAATTTTTTCCAGCTTGGGATAAGGGGGAACACATCCCAGTATTTTGCAATATGGTACTGAACGATTTTGAAAAAATTAACAAAGAGAAGGGTAAGGGTCCTTAAACGTGAAAAAAGCATAAAAGATTTTAAAAATAAATTTGATATTGTTATAAAAGAAGCCAATAAGGTGGGTGGGATTGTTATTATGGATAGAGATATATATCTAAACGAAGCCCATAAGATCTTGTGACACTAAAACTTATAAAATTTTGAAGGAAAAACCAAGATAATGTTTTTAAATCAGAGCTTCATATTATATTATCTGAAGCTCTGGATCAAAAGATAATTATAAAAATGGAATTTGAATATCTTTTTATTGAATTTCCAAAATTGGCTTTTTTCTATCAATTGCCAAAGAAAAAAATCTGGAGAACCCACCAGGGAGGCCTATAATCAGTGGCATTGGCTCCCTTACTAGTAACATCTCTGAATATGTGGATTTATTTCTACAAAAGTATGTCACACTAGCTACTTCTTATGTTAAGGACTCCACCCAGTTAATCAGGGAACTGGAAGGAATAGAGTGGAAGTGTAATTATCTGTGGGCCACCATAGATGTTACCTCATTATATAAAGTCATTGACCACAAAAAAAGGATAGCTGCAATAAAGGAGGTTTTAGATAAGGATAGTTGTATGTCCAAAAAACAGATGAAATTTATTTTGAAATGTATTGATTTTATCTTACATAAGAACTCCTTTTGGTTTGAAGGAACACATTATCTCCAAATCTGTGGTATCGCCATGGGTACCAGGTTTGCCCCCAGCTACGCCAGACTGGGAAGAGCGGTGTATTTGGAATAACAACCCATTTGGGGCAAACCTGGTGCTATGGAAAAGGTACATAGATGACATTTTAATAATTTGGAAGGGTGAAAAATCAATATTTAATAATGTTATGATTTATATAAACTCTAATACTTATGGTTTGAATTTTACCAAAGAAATGGGAGACAATCAGATTAATTTTTGGGATTTGACTTTTTTTGTTGAAAGTAATGTAATTTGTAGTAAGACCTTTTTCAAACCTATGGATTGCACCAGCCTTAAAGAATTTTCTAGCTGCCACAATCCTGTATGGTTGCTAAACATTCCCAAAAGTCAACAAATGAGGCTATTCAAAAATTGTACGAACAAGGTAGATATTGAAGGTCAAGTTCAGACTTTAAATAAAAAATTTCTGGATAGGAACTATCCAAAAGATTTACTGTCAAGGACCCCAAAAGAGGTTTAGAATAGGAAAAGGGAAAAGATTCTATAGGAAAAGCCAGAAAAAGACAGCTTCGACATGAATCCATTTAATATGGCATTTATTACGAAATATAACAATAAAGCGAATAAAATAGAAAAAAAATTTAAAAAACATTGGCCAGTTTTATTGCAGGATATTTATCTACATAAATTATTGCCAAAAAAAGAAGGTTGTGTACAGAAAAACTGACAATTTGAAAACCATTCTAGCAGCCAGTGTCCCAAAATAGTTCTGGAAAATCAAAATAAAAATTTCCTTGAGAAACAACCTAACGGCTTTTTTAAGTGCGGAAATTGCAGTACTTGCAAGTATCAAAAAAGAAGAACTACTAGTTTTAAGAGTTCCGTCACAGGTGAATATTTTGAAATAAAACACTTTATAACCTGCAGCAGTAAAAATGTGGTATATCTCCTAGAATGTGCATGCGGAATGCAGTATATAGGCCGTACCATCTGTAAGTTACATGAAAGATTACTGGAACATTTCTATTGTATAAAGAAAAAAAGTGATAAACATAGTGTTCCTCGACATTGTAATAAATGCCCTGCTTTTGTTTCCAATAGCTTTGTCTGTATAGGTATCTACCTGGTTATTTCACACTGGCAAGGCGGGGATCCTACTAAGGCACTAGCCAAAAAAAGAAACAGAATGGATATACAAAATGAAGTCCTCTACTCCGCAAGGTTTAAACACCGAGTTGGATATTCTAGCCTTCATGTAAATCTGAGGGTTCTAATCTAGATTAATTTAGATAATTTTTTGTCATTAGTTCTTGCTGCTAGCTGTTTTCTTCTCCTTTTTTATGTTCCACCAATGTTTAGATGTACATTTGTAATATAAAGTCCCTCTTTATGGGAATATTGATTCCAACTTAGGTCTGCATATATCCATATATTCATATTGGAAAAGAGTTGATATGTTCATTTAAATACTTATAATATAATTTCTTAATATTAACTTTTTATTCATATGGGAAGAGAGTTGTATGTTTATTTAAATACTTAATATTAACTTATTATATTCTTCTCTTGTTTCCCTTCTCTTATTAGTGAAATCCATAGTGTTTCATCTGTAACACCATAGGATATCATATGTGTATTTTAGGACTATTACAATTATACTAATTATAATGTTGTTTTTCTGCCTAATTAGTATTGCAGATGATATTCCAGTGAGCAGAGGCTATGTTCTGCTTTTATTCTGGATTTTAACCCATTGTTTAGTACCTTCTGTGCCATGTCTTACCAGATTTATGAATAGAGGAACTTAGCTTTTGAGAAATACTTCTTTATGTATATAATATGCTTATTAAGACTATAATGATTTCTAATTTTATGGGTTCCCTTCTTTGGTTAATATCATAGTTGGGAATGACACATCTGATACTATGTTTTAGATTGTGAGGATTGCCACAAATATTCATGCATGCAACATTTTTTACTATTTTAGTTTATTTTTTATTAATGTATATTTTTTTCAGCATTATGTATATTTTATTCTCTTTATTTTTTCACATAATCTATATTTGTGGCAAATTCCGAGGTTAAGCTTTAGCCACAAGCATTTGGTGTAACGAACATTTCGATACATATAACTGCTACTTATGTAGCTTCTGTGTCATAATGTATCGATGTTCAGATTCTAATAAAGTTTTCATGCGCACCAATTAGGCTACGCATGCGCACTGGACATTTCCTGACAGCAGTTAGTGCAGGATTCACAGGTGTGTGTTCCTGCATCTGACTAGACAGAATTAGGTGTCCGTGTGCGCATGTGCCACAGCTAGATTGGGCACGAAGATCTGAAGATAAAAGAAGAGACGCCGGAAGTACGGGCAGATCACCCACAGCTCCTGAGGAAGCCCTGATTAACGCTGGACAAAACTCGTAGAGCCATTTGTTAAGCAGTCCAGAGACCTTACTACCACCACCGTTCCAGTTGCAAGTATTTCTCAATCCTGGGAGTCGCGACCAAGGGCTTTGCATACTTTCTTTTTTCTTGTTGGTTTAGTGGTTTGTGCTGGGCATTTGTTCCCTGGTCTTGTAATAGTACTGCCTTATTATATTGTATATACTTTTTCATTGAGAGTTATTAATGTTTTATTATTGTGCATTCCAAGTATATTCCCACAATAAAGCTTTGAGATATTTTTAATATACTACATTTTGAACATCATATTTTCACTTTCTTTATATCACTGTATCTTTAGTGTCTAGCGCCCTTATCTGGTGGGTTATATACCCATCTTTTGTCTATATTCGTTTTCATAGGCTTTATTGGAGTGTGCCTATAAAGTGGCGGCTTTTCACATATAGATCCCCATATCTTGTTCTTTTATCGTTTATATTTTTTAGTGTTTATCGATTGTCCTATTTTTCCTACCTTTGACCTTGGCTTTCTTCCTGTCATATCTCTTTTAGTAGATTAGGGTTTGTGTGTTTTGGGTTCCCTTATATAACTTAAAGGCACACTTAAAGGGAAAGTATGGAATTATGGTGGAACAAATACATAGCAAATATGCCAAAAAGACTTCTATCATGAAATTAAGGTATCTGAGAAAGGCTCAGTCATTAAGGGTTTAAATTCCTATACCACTTCTCCACAGTTCCATGTTTGTTTTATTTTCATTAATGAAAGTTTCCACAAGCACTCTGATTTCTGCATGTATGTGTGTGTTAGCGCTGTTGAAGACAGTAGGGGCTGTCTAAGACCTGTGCTATGATCTGTTTGAAGGTTTGGTCAATTACATCATTAAGATATCACTGAAGATACGTGTGGCTAATGGAGCACCCCTGGTGTCATCCAGACACAGAAGTTGTTACATAAGGTGTTGTATATTAACTTCTGTGACCATCTTGCGTGTCTGCAATATAGAAAAAAGGAGTCAAACAATACACAAAAATGTTATACCTATTTAAATGCAGTGCCAGAGATCCACTCTGCAAACTAATATCCTGTGATTTGCTAAATTCTAATAAGCTTCAACTTAAAAAGCTCTATCTTGTACTCACCAAATTACCAGTAAGGACTGGCAGTTGTTTATATTCCCTCATATAACTCAAATGACCAATACTCAGTTTTCAACTTGGTTCTGTTACATGAATATGCAGAGACAGATCAGTGTTTTCTTTCTCAGTATCATGTCTATTAACTGTCAGGCAGTGTGTCACAGTTAATGAATGATAATATGCTAAAATGTCGTGGATAAGTGCAAGATAATGCATCTTGGACGTAAAAGCCCATGGGCACAGTACACAATATTTGATAGAGTCCTAACCTCAACATCTGAGGAAAGGGATTTAGGGGGTTATTATTTCTGATGACTTAAAGGTAGGCCGACAATGTAAAAGAGCGGCAGGAAATGCTATCAGAATGCTTGGTTGTATAGGGAGAGATATTAGCAGTAGAAAGAGGGAAGTGCTCATGCCATTGTACAGAACACTGGTGAGACCTCACTTGGAGAATTGTACGCAGTACTGGAGACCATATCTCCAGAAGGATGTTGATACTTTAGAGAGAGTTCAGAGAAGGGCTACTAAACTGGTTCATGGATTGCAAGATGAAACTTACAATGAAAGGTTCAAGGAACTTAACATGTATAGGTTTGAGGAAAGACGAGACGGGGGGGGGGGTGTGATAGAAACATTTAAATATATAAAGGGAATCAACACAGTAAAGGAAGAAAAACAACCACAACAAGAGGACATAGTCTTAAATTAGAGGGGAAAATGTTTAGAAATAATATCAGGAAGTATTACTTTACTGAGAGGGTAGTGGATGCATTGAATACCCTTCCAGCTGAAGTGGTAGAGGCTAAAACAGTAAAGGAGTTTAAGCATGCGTGGGATAGGCATAAGGCTATCCTAACTTTAAGATAAGGCCAGGGACTAATGAAAGTATTTAGAAAATTGGGCAGACTAGGTGGGCCGAATGGTTCTTATCTTCCATCACATTCTATGTTTCTAGGTTTAACATGGGTTACATTGAATACTCGAGCAGTCTTAGCAATATTATACCAAACAGAATGTCTTGCTTTATTTTACACCTGTTAAAAAATATCAAAATTGCCATAGACTGTCATGATCACATTTGGGAGAAATACCTTGGTATGAGTTCAGTGTCATGAGTTAAACTTGTTTTTGCCAAATTGCACCAAAGGCACCTTAGATGAATAGGTCCAGGTCATTAATGATAGTCTTATAAATCTTGTTTATATATTGCACAGTCTTCCACATCCTTACCAATGTTATCAATCTTGTCAATATCTTGGAGAGTATCCTTCTTTCTTTTATTGTAAGTAAAAAAAAAATATAGGGTAACGTTATTACAAGATGGAGGAGTTGCTTCACAAGATGGAAGTCAGATCCCACATCAGGTTTTACTTAGCAGGTAAGTCCCATTGAGTCCAGTTAGAAAGAAGAGTTGTTTGAGTAGGACTGTGTGTGTGTCTGTTAGTGAGTGTGTGTGTGTTGAGTGTGTGTGTGTGTGTCTGTTAGTGAGTGTGTGTTTCTGTTAGGAAGTGTGTGTTTCTGTTAGCTAGTGTATGCGTATCCAGGGCTGGACTGGCCCACCGGGATACCTGGAAATTTCCCGGTGGGCCGTCGGCACCTGGGACAAGGCAGACACCTGGGTCTCCTGGCGGCCGCTGGGGGAGGTCTGCTGGCAGCCGCTGTCTCTGTCTCTGCTCCCCAGCGCGCAACTTAATGAGACCGAGGTCAGAATATGACATCGCATTCTCATTAAGCTGCGCGCGAGGGCGGGGGAGCAGAGACAGAGACAGCTCCCCCAGCAGCCCCAGCAGACCTCCCCCAGCCAGCAGCCACCAGCAGACCTCCCCTTGCGGCCACTAGCCCACCCAGCCGGTCACCCACAGGTTATATGTGTAATTCTGTCAGTGTGAGTGTATGTGTGTGTGTGTGTGTCTGTGTCACTGTGTGTCTGTGTCATGGTGTGTGTGTCTGTGTCATGGTGTGTCTGTCTGTGTCATGGTGTGTGTCTGTGTCATGGTGTGTGTCTGTGTCATGGTGTGTGTCTGTGTCATGGTGTGTGTCTGTGACAAGGTGTGTCTGTGTCAAGGTGTGTCTGTGTCAAGGTGTGTCTGTGTAATGGTGTGTGTCTGTGTCATGGTGTGTGTGTGTGTGTCTGTGTCATGGTGTGTGAGTGTCTGTGTCATGGTGTGTGAGTGTCTGTGTCATGGTGTGTGTGTGTATTTAAAAAGTGTTTTTACTCACCTTTTTTATTTCTCCCCATGCCGTGCTGGTCTCCCCTCGACTTGCCCTGCCTCTATGGCTGAGATCATCAAGCTTGATGATGTGAGCCAATCCAATGCTCTGCCATAGGATTGGCTGCAAAGGCCCTTAATGTAGGTGCTGCACACTGTGCAATCACACTGTGCAGCACTGACACAGGAAGCACCTCTAGTGACTGTCTGAGTGACTGTCACTAGAGGTGTCACTAGGAAGCAATGTAAACACTGCATGTGAGTATGCTTAATGTATAATTAAACGTTTTACTCTGAAAGGACCAATATTATATATTAGAAAAAGCAATATATATATATCACTCAACCATCTGGGGTGGCAAGACATTGCCTTACATATTACATACGGCAATATATGGCGCAATGACTTATGGGGCTGGCATAGATTTTAGAAAGAAGAGTTGTTTGAGTAGGACTCACCTAAGAGGTTTGCAGGTAAGACCCACTGAGTCCCGTTAAAAAGGAGAAATGCTTGAGTAAAAAATTTCCTTAATTTTGACAAAGGAATTGGTTCAGAATTTTTTTTAAAAACAATTATTTTTCTGGAAGCCAAAATTTCAACCACATGGCGATTCGTCTTGGCAGAATTTTGGTAACATAAGACCAACTTGGAAAATTAATCAGACAAACCAAAAGGGTGTGGAAATTGGAGTATGTATGTATTTTGCAGTAAACTAATTGGTGCATCTTACCACCCTTTTGTTCTGAGATAAAGTAAGCAAAAGTAACCAATAGAGAGAAAAATATTTAATATATAAAATAAAAAAAATTTAAATTGTGTCTTTAATCTCTCTATTGCTAACTTCTCACTTGATCTGTGAATAAAATAAACATTTACAGACTGTCCCTTAACCATCAATTATCTTTTTTCCCTCCAATTCACAACCACAAATTAAAATGAACATGCTTGGCCATTGTGCAAATTGTTTGGATCATGAATCTGCTATATTTTGGCTTAGAGTTCATGAATTCCAAGGATCGCCCAGTCGGTTCAAATTTAGATGAACTGCAGTTCGACACAAATCTCCAAGTCTAGCTTATGCAATAGTGGCAATTGAAGTGGTACTAATAACCTATGTAATTCAAATGTGCATAGAGATTTAGCATGGTGCAGAGGTAATTTGTTTGCTTGTGTTTATATATTTCAGTTGATTAATACTAAAGCCATTACTTCTAAAGTAATGCCACACACCCCAGGTGTGTCCTATCAATGGTAATGTTTTTTTACTGTAACAACAATAAGGATGTAGAATTCTCTGCCTGAAGAAGTTGTTTTATCAGAGTCCATACAGATGTTCAAACAGCTACTAAATGCATACTTGCAAAAACAGAATATTCAAGGATATAATCTTTCAATGTAGGGTAATAACTGCTTGATCCACGGATAAGTCTGACTGCCATTCTGGGGTCAAGAAGGATTTTTTCCTAGCTTGTTGCAAAATTGTGCTTCAAACTGGGTTTTTTTTGCCAAAAAACAAATGTGAGGAAGGCAGAACTTGATGGACGCAAGTCTCTTTTCAGGCTTGCATTGATGTGACAGATGGGCTTACACTAATAGCAATGGCAGTGGTACTAAAAAGCGCTAAAAATCCCCAAAGGGATTTGGGATTGTGCACAGGTTACATGGATGCTGATTGTTACATCAAGTTCCTTTCCTGGTCTGTGATTTTACAGACATTGTAAATCCCTAAAAAAAAATATAACAACTAATTTTGTGGTCTCAACTGATGTTCAAAGTTTTTTAGCCTTTAAGTTGCACTTAAAATCTGCACTTAAGGCATGGTTATAAGTAAGGTGTTTGTGATGCTTATTTTGGTAAGGATGATTCCAAACACAACATTCGAGCAGAAGAGTGGGCAACAAAGCATTGGTACTAAAATGAAGC